GTCACTTCTAAACAAGAATGGGTTCAAGCTAGTCTTTGTATCTGACAAGTTTGTGCTGACCAAGAATGGGGTGTATGTGGGCAAAGGGTATCTAAGTAATGGACTTTTCAAGTTCAATGTAATGACTGTTGTACCCAAAGCTATTAATAATAATAATAAAGTTAATGCTTCTTTTGCTTATATGATTGAGTCATCTAATGTGTGGCATGGTAGGTTAGGACATGTTAATTATGATACGATTCGTAGATTAATTAACATGGAGTCTATACCTAAATTTAGTATTGATTTAAATCAAAAATGTCAAATATGTATAGAAGCAAAATTGACTAGAACCTCATTTCACTCTATAGAGCGAAGTACTGAACCTCTAGCATTAATTCACAGTGATATCTGTGACTTTAAATCTGTGCCAACTAGAGGTGGGAAAAAGTATTTCATTACTTTTATTGATGATTGCACAAGATACTGTTATGTATATTTGTTAAGAAATAAAGATGAAGCCTTGGAAATGTTTAAACATTACAAGAATGAGGTTGAGAATCAACTTGGCAAAAAGATAAAGGTGCTTAGAAGTGATAGAGGTGGTGAATACGAAGTACCATTCGCTGACATTTGCTCAGAACATCGTATTATTCACCAAACTATGGCTCCTTATTCACCGCAACAGAACGGTGTTGCTGAACGCAAAAACCGTACCTTAAAAGAAATGATGAATGCTATGTTGATAAGTTTTGGTTTAACCCAGAATTTGTGGGGGGAAGCTTTGCTTTCTGCTAATTATGTTCTCAACAAAATACCTCAAAAGAAAACGAATGTGACACCTTATGAATTATGGAAAGGTCAAAAACCTTCTTATAAATTCTTAAAAATGTGGGGGTGTTTAGATAAGGTTGCGGTTCCTACTCCTAAGAAAGTTAAGATAGGACCAAAAACCTTTGATGGTATTTTCATAGGCTATACACAGAATAGCAGTGCATATCGTTTCCTTGTGCATAAATCAGACATTCCTGACATCCATGTCAATACAATTATTAAGTCAAGGAATGCTTGTTTCTTTGAGGATATATTTCCTTGTAAAAATCCTCTTAAAAGAAATCATGATATTGCTAATAGCAATATACAAGAGAATATAGACCAAGAGTCTATAAATGATGAAAATAAGGAAGAACCTAAACGTAGCAAAAGAGCCAGAGCGTCTAAGTCATTTAGTCCTGATTTTCTGACATATATATTGGAGAATGAGCCATAAAGCTATAAGGAAGCTATGTCTTCTCCTGAAGCTCCTTTATGGAAAGAAGTCATAAATTGTGAAATTGAATCCATCATGCAAAATCATACTTGGGAGCTGGTGGATCTTCCTCTTGGTACTAAACCTTTAGGGTACAAGTGGATTTTCAAGAGGAAGATGAAGCCTGATGGTTCAATTGATAAATATAAAGCCCGACTTGTTGCTAAGGGATACAGGCAAAAGAAAGGCTTGGATTATTTTGATACATACTCACCAGTCATAAGAATAACATCCATTAGATTGTTACTAGCTATTGCAGCATTGCAAAATTTAGAATTGCATCAAATGGATGTTAAGACTGCCTTCTTGAATGGTGAATTAGAAGAGGAAATCTATATGAAACAACCTGAAGGTTTTATAGTTCCAAGAAAAGAAAAGAAGGTGTGCAAGCTTGTAAAATCCTTATATGGATTGAAACAAGCACCTAAACAATGGCATGAAAAATTTGACAAAGTGATGTTGTCAAATGGTTTTAAAATTAATGAGTGTCATAAATGTGTTTATGTGAAAAACACTCAAAATGGATATGTCATTGTGTGCCTATATGTGGATGATATGCTAATAATGGGTAGTAATGATGTTATAATCAAAACTAAAAAGTTGTTGACCAAAAATTTTGATATGAAAGATTTAGGCATAGCTGATGTCATACTAGGAATCAAGATTTCTAGAATATCAGATGGTCTAGTATTATCTCAATCTCATTATATTGAGAAAATATTAGAAAATTTTAATAAGGAAGATAGTAGTCTTGTAAAGACTCTTGTTGATGTAAATCTTCATTTATCTAAAAATACGGGTCCTAACATATCACAACTTGAGTATTCTCGCATTATAGGAAGTTTAATGTATTTGATGAATTGCACACGACCAGACATAGCATACTCAGTTAATAAATTGAGTAGATATACAAGTAATCCAGGAAAGAACCATTGGACTGCAATAATCAGGATTCTAAGGTATTTAAGATATACTATAAGTTATGGATTACATTATTCTAGATATCCAGCAGTACTTGAAGGATACAGTGATACTAATTGGATATCAGATACGAAGGATTCTAAATCCACAAGTGGCTATGTCTTTACTATTGGAGGAGGTGTCATATCTTGGAAATCTTCAAAACAAACTTGTATTACCAGATCCACTTTGGAATTTGAATTTATTGCTTTGGATAAAGCTAGTGAAGAAGCTGAGTGGCTTCGTAATTTCTTAGAAGATATTCCAAATTGGCCTAAACATGTGCCCACTATATGTATACATTGTGATAGTCAATCAGCAATTGGAAGGGCACAAAGTAATATGTATAACGGTAAGTCTCGACATATACGTCGACGACATAATTCCGTTAGACAATTGCTCTCAAGTGGGATAATCTCAATAGATTATATCAGGTCAAAAGATAATTTAGCGGATCCGTTTACAAAAGGTATGACAAGAGAGCAAGTGTATAGTTCATCGAAGGGAATGGGATTAAAGCCGAAAGCTAACGAGTCATCTTAATGGAAACCCAACCTAGTTGACTGGAGATCCCAAGATCTAGGTTTAAAGGGACAACAGAAATTCTGAATGGCTCACCAGAACCATTGGGAAGAATTAATCTTCTACCTATTTCTATGATGAGACAGTGCTACCTACAGCGATGAGTAGGATAAGCTATGCTTTTAATGACTCTTATATCTTGAAAATTCAAGTGGGGTATAGTAGGATACTCTTAATAAGAAGTCACCTATATAAGTGTGAAGTGGGGCCGCTTCTATGAGAACTTCTAAGGCTAAGTTTTTTAGAGCGCTCATGAAATACCAGGAGTTGTTCAGAGCCATATGAACACAACCGTGAGAACCGACTTTGTGCGGGAAGGAACTGTGTGTTTGCTATTGTCTTGGTTTACATCAACGGCTGAACAGTTCAAGACATCATGTTCATTGGTTAGCCAATAAATCTGATAGTAATATACTAGGGAAGGTTCAAGGTTAAAAGCTACCTATCTCGATGCAGTAACTTTCCAATAGTACTCTCTCTAGTGTCTGTATCTTCTTCATTTGCAATTGACGCTAATTTCCATTCATGTAGGGGATTGTTGGAAACGGGGTATACAAAACAAAAACTTTGGATGAAATTTGGAATAGATTCGGCTAAGAATTTTTTGCAGATTTATAGAGCAGCGCGTTCCTCTCCGCAAGGAGATGAACGTGGTATATTTACTTTCTCAAATCCGTTTCCGGGTGAATAAGAAATTGATCCAAAGTGAGGTGTTTGAAAAGCCTAAATGGAAAAAATGTTGAAACCAATTGAAGTTTAAATAAGTCAAGCTTGGGCTTGGATTTGGGCTTGGGCTTGGACCTAATTGTAAAGTCCGGATTATTGCTTTTATTAAATGGAATTTTGGATTGGGCCTATTTTTGGGCTGGGCTTATTTAAATAGGTTTCACAAATGGGTGGGTTTTTTGGGTGGTTGGTTTTTTGAATTAAAAAACTACTTTTTTGTTTTTCTAAAAGGTTACACCTTTTAAATTAAAAAATCATATTTTAGTTTTTCTAAAAGGTTACACCTTTTAAATTAAAAAACTATTTTTTAGTTTTTTCAAAAGGTTACACCTTTTTCCGAACCATCATAACCCATGGTTGCACCCACCCGAAAAGGCACTTGGCTACCTATAAATACCCCCCTTTGGATCATTTGCAAATCACACCAAATTCAGAGAATTCTTCTCTTCTTCTGAATTTTCTTCTTCCTCCTTCTTTCTTCACTCTGTGGGTTCGAGCCTTAGTATTTGGGTTTGAGCCTTAGTCAGACACTCCGAGTCCGAGTTCGAGTCAGAGAGTACTACACCGAACCGGTTCGCCTATTCCTTTGATTTGCAGTGCTACTACCAAAGGAAGACAAGTCGTTGCATCTTGGGAGATAGACGCTACTGAGTCCGTTAGCATCATAGCGAGGCGAATCTGTCTTAAGGACATAGAATCAAATTCTAGCCTCGACTTTTAATCAGGTTCTTTTATTTTATAGGTTTTATTTTATTATATTAAACTATATATAATAACAAATTATATATATATATATATATAGATTATTATAATAATTATATATATAGACTATCATAATAATTATATATATATATATACATTATATTTTCAGATAATATTTAACTAAATAATACTATAGTATATTGTATAGTCAAACCGTATTTTTGGACAACATTTATATAATTGGTGTGGTATGTGAATTGGAGGGTTGTTATATACACTATATTTATACTATATGTTATTATTATTATTATTATTATTATTATTATTTGCTCTTTACCCATTAAAAACCCTGGTCAAACATGATTCTCATTCACGCAGGATATTGAAAAAGGAGATCAAATACATAAATGAGAATGCATAGGTTTGAATTGTTTTGTTTAGGGTAAAGTACAAAAAACCCCATCTACTATCGATATAGTGCATATCAGTCCCTATGTGGTAAAAAAAAACCCCATATAATATCAATTTGGTGCAAATAGGTCCATGTGTGGTGTAAAATGACAATAATACCCTCACTTCAATTGAATAAATTAATAACTATAAATTTAGGCCATATAAAATGACCCTTTTACCCACTTATCAAAAAAAAACAAAAAAAATTGAGCACCCTTGTAGCCAACAGAGGTACTTGGGTCATATCTATATATATATATATATATATATATTATGAGTATATATCTCTGCGAAGGGGAAAGTACCGCACTGCTACAACAACGGGGACGGCAATGAGGATCGGCCAGCAACGGAGGAACGACGGTGAGCTTGGCTGGTTCGGATGGTCGTGGAAATGGAGGCTTCCCTTTTCGAAGCCTTCAAGAGACCCCACGATGACTGGTCTTCGAAACAGGGAACAAAAATTTCGATGGCGGTAAAGAGGATGGCGACTCGCGATGAAGAGGCGACTGTTGCTAACGAGCAAGGCAGTGCTCGGTGAGGAGGATCCCACGGTGAGCACTAATTTCCGGCGCTTTCGATGTTGATAAAGAAGGTGGTCTCTGTATTGCCCGCCGTTGACAAAAATGGTGTTGTTTCAGGTGAAGTTGTGTTATAAGGCGCCGGTGAAGGTGACGAGACGACGGCGACAACAAATTGATTTTTCCCCCCATCTCCTCCAAATAGTGAAAATTTGGGATTTAGTATTTGATTTGATTACGATTTGATGATCGTAATACACCGGGCGAAAAAAGAGGGATTTGTGAATGAATAGGTTGGTTTGTTCATCACATAAATAGAGGGATTTTGCGGCTCTGTTCAAGTGAAGTGAGAGAGTTGAAGAAATTGGGAGCTACAATTACAAGATGGTTGGGTACTTCAACTGGAAGTTCAAGATTAGAGAGGCGGAGCCACTGCCGGAGGTCAAAGAGGCGTTCGCGACTTAAAGAGTAGTATATAGTTTTCCCTCTGTTTTTGGGTGAATTGGATTTGTTTTCCCTCTGTTTTCTTTGTTTCTGGTTTTTGCTAGCATATGTTTAAACCTGCGAGAGAATCAGATGATACTGTAAGGGTAGATCCTTTAGATAATCTCAAGAAATACAGAGGAGGATATGATATCACACATATGTAATGTTGAATGCAAAGTGAGTGACCCTAATTGTCAAATTGCAGAACTGCATCTGGTTTAGTTCTTGGGGGAACAGTGAAATCCATTCAAGAGCAAAGACAGTGGTGGACATTCCGGCGAGCTGAGCCGTTTAGCCACTACCAGCCAAGCTGAGCCATATATGGGTGAGGGGAAAAATAGGAATAAAAAAGGGTAAAATGGGGTTTTTAAGTCAAAAAGTGGTCTGAGGGACTAGTTCTGCACCTTTTTTGAATTTTGTGGACTTGCATGCACATTTTCAAAAAGTATGGACTAGTTTTGCACAAACTCTATATATCGGGGGGTTTTTTGCACTTAACCCTTTTGTTTATGAAGACAAGTTTTTTTTACATTAATTAATAACCCAACTTACGGGGAACTAAAATCTCTAGTGCACCTGCACCAAATTTTTTTTGGGTTAATTGTACTGATACACCCTTAAATAAGGCCTAATTGTAGATAGATATGAAATAACTCTTTGTAAGAGTTAGAGCCGGAATAACGTTAAAAAAATCCTATGAAATATCATATTTGTCCCTCCTTTTTAAATAGTTTTTCATAAAAATCTCAACGAGAAAATAACTAAAATGCCTAAAACTCACCCCCTCTCACTTATCTTTTGCCACTATTTTTCTCTCCCAACCCTAATATATTTTGTCAATACTCTCTCTCATAAGGTCTCTCACACTCTATCATTATGATGGAGTAGGAAATCATCAAGGCTTCCAGTTGCAGTGGCGGGAGCTTCAAAGAATATGTCATGGCTGATGAGCGACGATGATTATATAGAGTTTGGTTATATATTATTAGTTAGAGATGAGTTAGTGACCATCTCTTTGAGCGAGTGTGTATGTGTTCGAGTCTTTCTCCCTTAATTTACTAGGATAAAAAAAAAAAAATTAATTACTTATTGTAAAAATATCCACTTATGTTCTTTGAAGGAACCTCCATTTTATCCCTAAAATGCAGAAAAATATCTCATAATCTCATTGGTCATTCAGCAAAAATTTCTTAAGGCCTAGACATAAGTGGGCTAGAATTTGCTTAGATTTGGTTTATCTCTCACCATAGTGTGAAGATGTGCTTGGAGCCCCGACTCCGATTCCAAAAGGGCAGAACCAAGGAGATAATTGCTGATCTAATAGAAGTTATGCATGGCCCAAACATCAAGACACACGTATTTGAGTCTACCAATTTAAATCCTTAATATAGTTTTAAGGGATAATTTCACTGACACCCCCAGTAGTTTGGCCAAATATCAATCTAAAACATCTTTAAAAAATAACTATCACTCACATTACAAACATTTGCTCCGTTTTTCACTCACACCCCAAAAGTTAGCTGACAGGTGTGTCAGACCACTTTTTACATCTAAAAAGACATTCTTACCCTTTAACTTTGGTTTGACCCATTTAATTATTTCTTTAATGATTAAAATGATATATTTACCCTCGTTCAGATGACATATTTACCTTTCTTTGCCATTGAAATCAACTAACCGCTTCAGCCATCGTATATCTTGGCTCCAAAAGTAATTAGTGGCTGAAAAAGTTGCCTTGGCTCCAAAAGTGGCTCAAAAAGTAGCCGTTGCAATGAAATGACTCCAAAGTAGCCGTTGGTAGTTGCATTATAAATACACACTGCACTTCTTCATACATGCGTGAACTGCTTGCACTTCATACATGCTTGAAGGCTCCAAAGAAAGGAATAAGGTGTGCATTTGGTAAGAAATTTTTTGTGAAATTGTAATTTTGTTTGTAACCTGTAATTACAATTTTTTTTTTACAAGTAATTCCTTTATAATTGTTTGTTGATTTGAACCTCATAAATGTGAAGAAAAAAAAATGTATGTAAATTTGAGGGTGATATTTTGAAAAATATTTTTAACCTATAATTACAAATTATATTTTTGAATATGTAATTGCCAATGCCAATATTTTTTAACCTGTAACATGTATATTTTCAAGTAAACAAGGGTAATTAAGTGTGTGTTGCCAATGTTCAGAACTAAAATATGTTCATGTGGAAAAAGAGCAGCATTGAGGGTATTTCATTCAGACAAAAATCCTGGAAGACACTTCTACAATTGTTATAATGGAAGATGCGCATACTTTAGATGGTTGAGTCTTGAGGATGTACTTGCACCTGATGCTATTACTAATGTGAATGCTGCTAATGTCAATGATGGAATTAGGAATGACATTATAGATGGTTTAATGTCTTTGATGAGGTCAATTATGTATGCAAGCATGGGCATTTGTATTATAGCTGTCCTAACAATGTCCATTGTCTTTCTATCTAAATAAAATAATTAGTGTTATTTTATAATCAGTATATAGTAATGCAACACAACTACAATATCAAAGCATGCATACAGCCTTTAACTAAGTCAAAACCATTTTTCAGATCAAAATATAATCCATCAAATATCACAAACTTTAAAAGCCAAAAAATACATCCCTTCAAATCCATTACCAACAGCCACATAGCTAAGTTTAAATATCTCTTCAAATTCATTACAAAACTTTCAAAATAACCAAAAAGGTATTCCCCATTGCATATCATTACTTGCATAACCCAAAAGTATTCCCCATATCTACTTGCATAACCCAAAAAACTGTGCTGTGTGTGAAATTTAGCTTGTGCAAAAAATTATGTTAGCACTGTGCAAAAAGTCTTGTTTACCATAGACTATGTCCTAATTCCTGTTGTAAGAGGTAGAGTGGTGCAACATGGAGTCTAAATGCCTTATGTTGCTCTTGCTGGTTCCATAAATATTGAAGTTGAACCCTGAATAACAAGGACATAAATATAAACATAAACTGAAATGCACAAAACTTTATAAATTATTTTGTTAAATGAATAATCTCAGACAAATATGAATAATATACCTGGGTGCCTTGTGCTATTGGTGGTACTGCTACTATTTATGTTGCCCTATTTGTTGAATCCTGAAATGAAAACAAAGCTTCATAATTTATACCTATACCCGTTTTAATGAATAATATCAGACATATATGAATTATATACCTGAATGCCTTGTGTTATTGGTGTTGTTGCTGCTGTTTCTGCTGCCATACTTCTTGAACCCTGAAATGAAAACAAAAGTTCACAATATAAATATAAACTGAAATAAAAAAATTTTTACAATATAAATCAAAACTTTAAGAGATGAATTAAATACCTGAGAACCTTGTGCTGCTGCTCCAATCCTTCTTGATCTTCTTGGTACACTTTTCCTCCTCCTTACTGTTGGGGCTGTTGATGATGATGGGCTTGCTGTTGCATTTGCTTTTGCTGCTTTTACTTGTGCTGCAGTAGGAGCCTTTTCACATCCCCTCTTGTTGTGTCCAAACACACCACATATGCTGCAAGTGATAACACTTGACCTTCTAGTTGCTTCTGGTTCACCAACTTCCCTTTTTCTTTTCACTCTAGGTCTGCCTATTGGTCTTTTGAGAACTGGTGGCTCCAATGGTGCTTTGTCAACCTCAGTCCACATAGTGTCATGGTGCAGTGGATGTATAAAAGTACTGTAAGTCTTTGCATATGTACTCTTGTTGTAGAAATCTGAATAAAAACTCTCAAAATCATGCCTTGTGTGTGTAATAGCTGCACATGCATGCCTGCAAGGCACTCCAGACACTTGCCATTCCCCACAACGGTAACTCATCTCACCTAGGTTCACAATATAAGACATGTGTGTATCCATTTGTGTAATTTGATACAAATTCCCACCAGGCCAAATCAGTTCACATGTAGCAGCTTTAGAGATGTTAGAGTTCAATTTTTTCCTAGCTTTTGGCACTATTGTATTTGTCCACTCTACTGTCTTTTGAAATCTTTTACCAAACTTGGACATCAGCTTTTTTGCTATGCTTTCCAGAATTCCAGTGATTGGCTTTTGTCTGATATTCCCAAGCCAAGAATTCAATGACTCCACATGATTGTTGGTGACAAAGTCACACTTTGCCCTAGGATCAAATTTATGTCTAGCCCATGTCTCTAAAGGATGTTCCATCAACCAATCAAATTTATGTCTAGCCCATGTCGCTAAAGGATGTTCCATCAACCAATTGTAACCCCCCCCCCCCCCCCCCCACAGATTGCCTGCAGTTGCCCCATTGCAGATTTGAATTCTAATTGATTATATGCATTTACAGCTGCCCAGAATATACTTTTATACTTCAGACCAGGATATTTTGTTTTAAAATTAGCATAGATATGCCTGCAACATCTCCTAGTTAGTGGCTGTGGAAAAATATCAGAAATAGCTCCCAAAATTCCCTTTTGCCCATCTGACATAAAGGTCCAAGGAATAGCTCCAGCTGTATCACCAAGGAACTTGTGCAAGTGATCTAAAAACCATTTCCAACTATCCTTTCCTTTAGATTCAACAATGGCAACAGCAAATGGATACAACCCATTATTTCCATCAAGTCCTATAGCACTAAGTAAAGTACCCCCAAAAGGTCCCTTCAAGAAACATCCATCAATACCAATAAATGCTCTGCACCTATTAACAAACCCATTCTGACATGCAGCAAATGATAAAAAAAATTCTCTTAAATCTTTGAGGCTCATCTGCATTTTTCCTTATGAACACTAAACTAGCTGGATTTGTTTTCATCACCTCAGCTGCAAACTTCCATAGCTTTCCATATGACTCAGTATGACTCCCTTCAATCTCCTCTTTTGCTTTCTTTTTAGCCCTCCAACAACTTATATCAGTAACAACTGTAAGAAATTTCTCTCTAACTTCTTGTTTCAAATCCTTTATTGAAATGTCAGGATTTTTTCTGAACCTGTCTAGAAGCTTTTTTGCTATAAATGTAGAAGTCACACCTTTGTTCTTAAATGTTCTGATGCAGCAATGTTCTGGGCAAACTCTTTTTATTATAAAAGACATTTTGTCAGGCAATAGGATTGCATGAATTCCCCAATTGCAGCCTGCATTCCCACAGTGACAGGTAATTCTTTTCCTTTCATTTTTTTCCCTCACAAGTTTAAAACCTTTTTGGATAGAATATTCTACCAAGACATCTCTGAAGTGGTGGATACTATCAAAGAGATGGTACTTCTCAAATACAATTTTACCCCCCTCACCATTTTTAAATGGCTTTCCCTTCAAAGCTCTGTGTAAATACTTCATAGTTATATTTCTATATTTTCTGTTTCTAATTTTATTTTTTCCACTTTGACTCTCACATGTCTCTCTTTCTTCCTCACTTTCACTTTCTCCACTGAAATCGTAATCCTCACCATAATCAGAAAACTCACCATCACTATGGTCTGAAGTCTCCTTCTCCAACTCAATATTATCCAAATTGTCATCTCCCAAATTATTAGCTCTCCCTCCCTCATGAACACCAGTCCACTCTTCATCATCACTGTCAGAAAAACTATACTGAGAATCTCCTTCACCATCATCACTCCCCTCATCATTTCTATCATCATTCATCTTATCATTCCTCTCCTCATCACTCCCCTCATCTGACATCACTGTTTCATTTGGAATGACTTCCTCAACATCACTGTCTCCTCCCACCTCAAAGGCATTACTAGAGCCTGCACCATTACTACATGAAGCTAAACAATACTGAGCAACTTCAACAAATACATTTATATCCTTACAGCCCTTCATCAACTCAAACATGATAATTACATCTTCATCTAGTTCTAGCAACATTCTATCAGTACAATCAGGAATTTGAAAATAAATATTAAATGCCACAGAACCTTTCTCATGACACACTTCATCACGTAGCAAGTAGGTAACATGAGTATTCAGTGACAAATAACTATACTTATCAGGATTAATGTTCCCTATGACATATATGTGTCCCTCATAGTGAACAATGATATCATGCAAAGTATCAGATGCCATTTGAATCTGCCAATAAAAAAAATAAAAATAAAAAAATAAAAAAAAACAAATAATCATGCTAACAAACAAAACTAATTGCTAATAGCCAAAATAAAGAATGGTAAAAGTAATTGCTAACAATCAACAAACCTTAATCCAACAAAAATAAACATGTTAAAAGTAAACCCAAATGTAAACCCTAAAATGACCCAAAATTTGAGTTAATAAACCCTAATTTTGGGTGATTTCAGAGATAATTAACCTAAAGTAGGGTTAATCCAGCAAAAGCCCCATCAATTAACCCTAATTAATTATGGGGGTTTTGCTAGAATTAGGGTTAATTACACCATCTTATTCCACGAAAAAAGAAGATCTTAATTGCATAATAACATGCAAAAAAGAAAACAATAACATGCAGAAAACAAAACAATAACATAGCAATGATTAGATTAGGGTTCTTGGAAAAAAAACAAAACCTGAGATTAACGTGCAAACGACTCTGAAATGGGTCAATTGTATATAAAAAAGACCTGAAATGGACTTGATCGACGGTACACAGTTGGATGAAAGGTATATGGCTCTGGAACTAGGCTTTGATGGTATGAAATATGGACTCTAGAATTACGACTCTGAAACTAGCTAGGGTTTCATGCTTTTGTTAATCTATGGGTCGCATCTGTAGAGAAGAGAGAGAGTGGTTTTGATCTGTAGAAAAGGTGAAGAATGGGTTTCATCTGTAGAGAAATGAGAGAGTGGTTTTGATCTGTAGAGAAGAGAGAGAGACAGACAAGCGTCCGATACAGATAGAGATAGAGGAGAGAGAAAGTGTCTTTGTGTATTGGCGGGAGAGTGGGTAGGTGGGAGTTTAATGAGGGGTATAAAAGTCATTTACCTTATTTGATATTTTGTATTAAATCTGATTAAAAAATTAGGGGCAAACATGTCTTTTCCCACGTTTTTAACGGAGCTAGTGACGGAAAAGCGAAATTGGACCTAACTGATAGTTATTTTTGAAAGATATTTTAGACTAATATTTGGCCAAACTATCGGAGGTGTCAGTGAAATTTACCCTAGTTTTAAAGTAAAGTAAAAAAAAGGGTATTTTGGTTTATCAAAAGGAAGTAACTTTGGGTAAATTGGTTATTCAACGTGTCAATTTTTATTTTTTCGGATCCTTTTACATGGTCACAAAAGCTTCGACACAATGTCCAAATAATAATAGGCACGTGCCAAAATTTTAATTTACCTTTAATTAGAAGACAATAAGTTAAATGATTAGTCTGCATTTTTCTTATAGAACAAATCTCATTGTATCAATCTTTTTAATGTAAGTTGTCATAAGAAGAAAAGATAAATATGTTTCTAAGAAGAAGATTAGATAAATACGTGAGATTTGATATTATTTGCACAGATTTGAAATTATTTGTGCAAAGTAATTAATTAAAATGGAAGATTGATGCTTTGAATTTCGATGCTGTGTATGAATCCTATTAAAAAAAAAAGGGACGATTTTAATGCTCACAATTGGAATCTTATTTTTCTTGAAACAACCATCATTCTTAACATTTTTCTTGAAAATTTTATATAAATTGAAGTTTTAAATTAATGATCCATAACGACGGGACATTAGTCAACTCTTTATGGCAGAATACAAAAAAGAAGAATTATTCCTTACATTTTATGCGAATAAATGATAAAGACAGTAACTTTTATGAGTTGGCCCAAATATCACAATGGACAAAAATTACTCTTCCAGTTATATTTACTTGGGACATGTTTGATATCCATTTTATTTTTAATATTTTATTTTAATTTAAAACAAAATAAGTATTTTGTTATAAAATATTTTTAATAATAATTGAAAATATTTTTGATAATATTTATTTATTGTAAAATTTTTAAAACAAAAAACATAAAAATATATTTGATAAAAAATTGATATAAATTTAAAAAATATAATGATTAATTTAAAAATATAAAATTTATTTTTTATCGCTATCATACTAAAAGATACTATATTAAGTGGTATAATGGGATTGATTTTTGATGATTATTTATGAAACGTTTAGACAATAGAAGATAAACAGTTTTTACTAAGAAAATATGAACACTTAATTTATTATTATTATTATTATTATTATTATTATTATTTTGTAATGTATTGTATTAGTGACACAAGAGTAAGGGACATATTTTATACCGAGTATAATAATATTTTGGAGAAAAAAAAAAAAGGATTGAGTTTTAATTGGAAGAGAGAACATGTGTCAAAATAATTAGTATAGTAGAATTTTCAAGAATCCTCAAATTTCCTACGCACAAGTTGGAGGAGTGCGATAAGCCCAAAATGGAGCTAACTTATCATTTGTCAAACGTCAACAATAACAATCTGAAAGAGATGACATCGTAATGTGTGAACCTCGAAAACATCACTCAACTCTATTACTGTAAGTTTTTCAATCTCAACCTTACCCTTTGAGGCAATATTACTCCACGCCAAAACTCGTGCAATACGTCGAAGGAAGTCCAATCACATGGGAACACGTAGTGAGGGGGTGACGTTGAGTCCTCTCTATTGGGCTGTGATTGTTTAGATCTGACAGTACGTGTGTTGTAGCCCTTCTCTTGCCGTTCTAGACCATCCGACGTGGCGTGCTGTTAGAGAAACACGAGTGTTATGATATTGAAAGTTTGAAGAAATTTATTCAGCCATGAATCGCCAGAAATTTGCGTCAACAACACGACCATCTCTAACTATCGGGTCGGGTTAAAATTTTTGTTCAGTTTCCTCGGGCCATTCTAGTTCTAGTCTTATTCGTGACATTGCGCGCGCACACACACATATATATATATATATATATATAATTGTTTTTTTGGTTCAAAACGGTTACACAATGTTACAAGCAAATATTTTTTTTCCTAATTTATAATCACAGACACATGTCTCTACTGAGACTCAAATTATTGACATTTCTTCGACAAGTAGGAGCTGGTACCGCTAGGCCACTGGCCTATTCGTAACAACAAAGCAAATTAAAAAATGGCCATGATTTTTTCGGCACTTGAAACTATTTGGACTTGATCAGTTTTATTAAATTAATTAAAGTCAGCCATGAGTTGGTCTCAGGTTTATCACGATGTTAAATAGTATATTTTGATACATCCTGATGTAACATCCAGTAATTGAGCAATTGATCAAATATCATGCATTAAAAGTAATTGAGCAATTGATCAAATGTCATGCATTAAAGCATAAACAACTTTAATTTGACAACCTTCTCTAGTTAATTTTAATGTAATTTTTGTTATGAAGAGAGTTCTCTGTGATAAAAAAAAACAAAAAACATAAACCCTCTTCATTCACTATTGATTTGAAATGATTTTTAATATGCAAAAAGCCAACTTTTTTTTTACTAAATTACTTTATTTAATATGATCTTACTTTTTTTGAATTTTATCTTCACAATTTAAAATTACTTGATATGATATGATCTGTGTATTAAAAGGATTAATTTCATCCAAATCGGATAAATATGCTCTGATATAATTGTGCAAGCTTCACTTACCAAAATAAATATACTCATAATTGTGCCATCAACGAAATTTATGACACCAAACTAAACGGTTCAATTTGTTATCAATTTTTATTTTAATTTCCGAATTTAAAATAAAAAAGACTAACAAAAGTGAAGAGCGTGTTTCACAAACTCTGCATATGGGAACGGACTTGGTATTCCACTATTTCCCGTAACCATGATGTGATTTCTATATACGTATATATATATGTATATGTATACACATATATATCGTTATCTCTAACACCGCTGGTTTCCTTCCAAACGCTTCCAACGTCACTGTGCACAGTCCAGCACGTCACGGCCATCAATAAATCAACTACCCATTTCCCATATTACTCAAAACCCCAATCAGCCATAGTGTAAAGTTTTAGAGAGATAAAGATATTCATTTTTAGAGATAGAGAGAGACATGGGAACAAAGGGAAGAACAGTCATGGAGGTCGGAGCTGATGGGGTGGCCCTCATCACCATCATCAACCCTCCTGTGAATTCTCTCGCCATTGATGGTACTCTTTTATCCTTTTCAATATGAATTTACAATAGTCAGTAAATCACACACACACACACACACACATATTATATGTTTATCTTTATATACAATTCTAATCAGATCTCATCAACCTGTCTTCAATTTTGCTTCATACTAACCTTGATTTCATTTTCGTTTTTCTGGGTATTAAGTTTCTGATATATGTTTTTTTAGTCGGTGTAGATTATGGGGTCTCTCTGTACTTTTCGGTACATTTTTATCACGAGCTTGTTCTTCTCATTGAAGTTAATTTTCACTTTATGGTTGAAAACTCATCATAACATTGCCCTAAATTTGTTTCATTTGCAACAATTTGTTTCTGAGGAAATTATGGAGATCAAATGTGGAGTTGGGGAATCTCATGTAAATTGAGATTTTACTAAATTGTTTATCTGGGTAATCATTAAATGGGAGGCTTAGAAAATGCACAATCTGAAATAGGAAGAGGAACAGTGGCGCACGTGAACTATAGAACTGCCTGTTGGTTAGCATTTGACAGAACTCTATTCGTTATTAAGAGCAAAACTCAGAAAAGTAATTGGGGTTTCAAATACAACAAATAGTACTTATAAAATTCTAATAGATGACCACTAATTTAGTTGAGAAAAGGAGGCTGGGTGTCAATACCCACGAATCCTAGTTGAGGGATGCAATTGTAGTTTACGGGGAGGGTGCCTGTAATTGCAGTTAGTCATACATTCAAATTGTTGGAACCAAATGGGGATTGATTTTCAGTCTACTTGATTGAGGCATAATTGCTGATTTTGCCACTTCACATGAATCCTAGTTGAGGGATGCAATTATAGTTTACGGGGAGGGTACGTATGTGCCTGTAATTGCAGTTAGTTATACATTTAAATTGTTGGAACCAAATGGGGATTGATTTTCAGTCTACTTGATTGAGGCATAATTGCTGATTTTGCCACTTCACATGAATCCTAGTTGAGGGATGCAATTATAGTTTACGGGGAGGGTACGTATGTGCCTGTAATTGCAGTTAGTCATACATTCAAATTGTTGGAACCAAATGGGGATTGATTTTCAGTCTACTTGATTGAGGCATAATTGCTGATTTTGCACACACATATAGGTGGGTGAAGTAATAAGCAGTGGATTATTTGCCTAGTTAGAATGCTATAGTGCACCGAACATGATTTTTTGCCAAAAATATCTTTCATTCTTCCCAGGGATATATATATCTTGTATATACAGAAAGCAGAATGTGATTCTATCAAACAAGCAAATTATTTCCATTGGTAAAGCATTATTTTTAAAAGTCATTTACTTTCTTCACTATATTGTTGTTGTTCTTCAACATACATATAGGAGCTGGATGTCAATCTTTTCAGTTCTTGTTGATGTATCATAGTCATTGAGGTTCCCAATTCCCCCCCCCTTCCCCCCCCCCCCCCACAAAAAAAGAAGAAGAGGGAACTCAATATATTGTATTTGATTGAACAAATAGGAGTCTCCTCTCCATTAAAGGATCTTCTAGTTCTCTCGCACCACAAGCCCCACCATAAACAAAGGGGAGTGGCCCTCCAAGCATCTTTGGCTCGGCTATCCACTATACACCCTCTCTGAGATTTGATCATATCCACCATAGATCTTGGAGATACCCAACACATACCAAACGCAGCCAAGAACATAAATCAAACATCCCTTGCCATTGGGAAATGTAGAAGGAGGTGGTTTTGCGATTCCTCTGCCTTCTTGTGCATACAATACCAGTTCACCACAATCTATCTACTCCTTCTAAGATTGTCTAAGGTAAAAATCCTTGACATCTGACGAATCAAAAAAGGCGCTTCAAGGGGGTTTTCGATCTCCAAATGGCCTTCCAAGGGAAGGTGGGACCCGGAATCTCCAAGAGACTTTGGTAGAAAGATCGAACCTCAAAGATCCCTCTCGGGGAACCCATCCAAACCATCTTATCCATCCCCTCCCCCCTCTCGAGTCACGACTTGGTTGTATAGCAAGGCTAAGAATTCTGCTACCTCCGCAAGCTCCCAGTCATGGAACTCCCTCCGAAATTGCATGTCCCGACTCCCAACTCATCCTTCCGCTATTAAGTTGATAACAGCCAACAATCAAGGCATGTCTATTCGTAGCTATCTTGAAAAGCCAAGGGAATCTGCGAGCCATAGCAATGTCCCTGCACCAAAGGTTCTCCTAAAATTTGACATGTCTCCCACTCCAGACTCTGAACTGAATGCGTTTGGAAAGTTCATCCCAACCTTTTCGGATAAACTTCCAAACCCCCACGCATGAAGGAGAACTCACTCCCTAGACAACCACCCTCCCCACTCCGGCAAGTAATGGCCCTCCACAATCTGGACTTCTCACCCTCAAATCTCTAAAGCCTTGTTGAACAAATTTAACCTCCTAACAATTCCCAAACCACCCTTCTGAATGGGGGTACACATCTTCCCCCAATTGACTAGTTGACCGGACAACTAACATGGGCATCGGAAAAAGGGACATAAAGTATGTTGGAAGATTCGAAAGGGTACTTTCATTAGAGTTAAAAGGCTCCCTTTTGAAAGATATTGCTTCTTCAATCCGGCAAGCCTCCTCTCAAAGCATTGTACTGCTGGTCCCTAATGGATGCCCTCCTCAACGAAGCTCCCAAAGAAGAGTTAGGGAAAGAGACAACCTAGCACCCAAGAATATCACAAGGCCGTGAATCTCCTCAACCACCCCAACTGGAACCAACTCACTCTTTCAAAACACATCTCAAGTATCGTATCACAAAAGAGATCAGCGAAAAAAAATTGAGAGTTCATTAGAATTTTTGACAGAAAATAAACCATGGTTAAGATGTGGTACCTAGCAAAATGTTTACCATTATATGGATGGGATAAAATTTCTTGCCTAAGAAATGTGAAGGTAAATATATATATATATTTTTTGGATAAATGAAAAATGTAGAGGTAAATATGTTTTTAGAAGGTCATGCTAGATCATTTGATATTTACAGCATATTAACTAGCCATCTAAAGAACTACTCTCCTCTTATCTTGCCTCGTAAGTTTTCGTCTTTGTCGCTCATTTATCTGTAATTGCAGGTTTTATAAAAGACACACACACAAACAGCAAAGGAAAAAAAAAAAAAAAAAAAGGATTTGCACATACCAATATAGTCCATGTCAAGTTTTCTTTCTCTAACTTTCAAGTTATGCTTTTGTAAGGGGAGCATTATTACCTATGGACTAGAGTTACTTGTGGCTAAGTTATATTACTACGTTTTCATGCTGGTTTCTTTTGTCTTTTGGCTAGAAATCAATACCCGTTAACTTCGTTTTTCTTTTTAATTCTTGATCGTTTTCATTTTTAATTTTCTGTTCCATGAGATGTATGGGACATATGCATCAAAGGGCCTGCTCTTAGGCTACTTACAAAGACATTTTTCATGATTTTTCGTATCTTTGATTTCTTCAATTTTTTCTTTTAATAACTCACTAAAACAGTGCCCTGACTCTATATCCTCCATCTCCAAATGGTTTGCTTTCTTTAAAGGAAGCCCGCTACATTTTACAACCCATCGCTGATTGTCCCATGGAGTCACTTGTTTGGAACTCATCCTGTATCCCTCGCCATAAGTTCATTATATGGCTTGCAATTCACAACCGCCTCTCAACACTAGATCGAAATCCACTGTCAAATTGGCACTTTCCGAACCATTGTACAGTTTGTCTCTCTACCAGTGAATCCTTGGATAATTTCTTCTTCTCCTGTAGCTTCATTGGCCCTATTTGGGGCTAGATCCAAAACCTCTATGGTTTCCATACACTTCCATCATCCTTGATGACTTCATCATGTGAGCTGCTCATCATTGGAAATCAAATTTTACTGCAAATTGGACCTCTTAGCCACCATTTACCATATTTGGAAGGAAAGAAATTCAAGAATCTTCAAAGGGATTTGCAGCTCTCAGCGTTTACTAGGAACTCAATTTGAGAGAAACTCTAGACACACTCAAAAATGGTTTGGATGCTCAGTGTGTCCATCGTGCTTGGGACTTGCCGTCGTCCATAATTCGTCCACCGGTGCGCCCTCCGGACATCTAATGTCTTGTTTTGGGTTAACTTCTGTCTAGACATAGATAGGTGTTGAAAGATATAAAAGTTGAAGAGAGAAATTAAACATGAAGAACACAACACATAAAGCCCAAAGGGCTACGTCACTTTTGTTATATTCTCTCTTAATCTTTGTATACAATGATCACCTTTATTTAGAGGTGAAAGAATACAAGTGATAAATATGGAAAATACATTGATATAGGATTCTTAAAATCAATCCCATTTATCACTCCAGTCAATATTTTATCATAGGCTAAAATCACTCCTATGATATTCTCATATCAATACTTTGACAAGGAGTAATTTAAGGGTTCCTATAATAATATTCTCCAACAACCCCCCTGAAGTTGGTATACTGAGATTTTAACTCAAGTGTCAAACTTTAAACTAAATATAAAGTTGTCGAGAGTCTAAGACGAGTAAATCTGAAATGAGTTGATCCAGAGATCCAAGACGAGACGAGACAAGACGAGACGAGACGAATTGATTAGAAGATCCAAGACAAGTTGATCTGGAGATACAAGACGAGTTGATTCAGAGACGAGTAGTGTATAGAGTAGGGTATGATAAAGCTGCTTTGACACCATGTTGAAAGATATAAAAGTTGAAAAGAGAAATTAAACACGAAGAACGCAACACATAAAGCCCAAAGGGCTACATCACTTTTGTTATATTCTCTCTAATCTTTGTATGCAAATACAAGTGATAAATATGGAAAATACATTGATGGAGGATTCTTAAAATCAATCCCATATATCACTCCAGTCAATATTCTATCATAGGTTAAAATCACTCCTATGATATTCTCATATCAATACTCTGTCAAGGATTATGTTAAGGGTTCTTATAATAATATTCTCCAACAATGGGCTTAGCCAATGTTGGGTTAGCTGTCTAACTCTTATAATGTTTCCTTGTGGTCCCTCTTTTAAGGTGATGGCCCATCTCTTGTTTGTACACTTTTGCACACACACATATATAAATATATTGCTTAACCTTTCGAAATAAATAAATAACTCATTATATTTGCTCACATATTTTTTCAGTACTACATAGCCTGAAAGAGAGTTATGAGCAAGCATTACGAAGAGATGATGTGAAGGCAATTGTTGTAACGGGTAAATATGGAGAGTTGCTTATTATTTTGTATGCATTGGAGATGATTGAGATTTGAAGCTAATATGTTATTACTAGAGCAGGTGCAAATGGCAAGTTTTCTGGTGGCTTTGATATATCAGCTTTTGGTGGAATTCAAGGGGGAAAAAGTGTGTGTAAAGTTTTGTGAGTCCTATAACCTTTTGTAGTCATTGTCACATCTTTGTTGAAATTCAAGTTCTTTTTGTTCACAGCTGCAGCACCAAAACCTGGTTTTATATCGGTAGAGGTTCTTACTGACACTGTGGAAGGTATTTTGTTGCGTTTAATCTCATTTTTTTTTTTTTTTTCTTCATTCTGGAGTGTGGTTATTTAAGTTGTGTTTATTATTTTCATGCTCTCTTTTTCTCTTAGGTGCAAGAAAACCTTCAGTTGCTGCTATTGATGGTCTTGCCTTAGGTGGAGGTCTAGAGGTTGCAATGGTATGTGCTGCTGCTTATTTTGGATGAATAGCTGTCCTCTTGAGTTTTGTGTAAATGACCCTAAAAAATTATGTTGTCAGGCCTGCCATGCCCGAATATCTACTGCCAATGCACAGTTAGGATTGCCTGAACTTCAGCTTGGTGTAATTCCTGGATTTGGAGGTATGGCTTTTTGTTTAAATAAAACCATGATAGTCTATTAGGATGTCTTTTGAAATGAATAAGTGATCAATTGGTCATGTTATTTATTTCAAAGCTGTTTTTAATTCTGTGTAACTAAATCATTTTCAATTCGGCTTAAAATAATTTGAGGCCTAAGGCGAAATTTTTTAAAATGGCCTTTTAATATTTAATATACTAATATCAAATATGGTTAATAATTTCAATTTAAAAAACACCCTTCTTGGTTTTTGAGATGCAAAGTTACCAATTAGATTTTTTATATTCAAGTTTTGCTAAAATATATTTTGCACCTAAATTTTTTGTTATGTTTTGGTTATTAGTAGTAACAAAATTGTCAAGAGCTTCTTTTTTTGATTGAATTAGTTTACTTATTTTTCTCTCTTTTTTTTTCCTCTTTTTTTCTTTTAAAGTTTTTCATATCCTGCAAATAAATTCAATAATATAAATAAATAAAAAAATTCCAGAAACAAAATACACATTTTATGATAAAAATAATAATAGGACAACTAAATTAAGTTAAAGAACAACATAACTTGATGCTAGAAAATTTTCATCCAGTGCTCCAACGAATTCTTGAATCCATTTTATTTCTATTTTGTAGCTTCTAGTGAAGTTCTCTAGCATCCAAGTGGAAAATCCCCCCTTTTTATTAGCTTAAAAACAAAATATTGTCTTTAAATCTTTTGGAGTATCACGATTAGGCACACACAAGAGTGAAGTTTGCAAGGAAAGAACGTGGAGGAATTCAGAAATACCAAGAGACATGAAAGAATAGGAAAAATAGGAGATGGTGTGAGAGAGTGAGAGATTAGAAAAATAGGAGGTAACATGAGAGAGAGAAAATATTAAAAAAATAGATGGCGTGGGAGACTGTAATATTGGGAAAAGGGAGAGAAGGGTGTAAGAAGAGAGAGAAAGAGAGAGAGAGAAGAGAAAAGGGGAGGGGATGGAAGAAGTTAAAATGGGGGGGAAATAGGAAAGAAGAGAAAGAATAGAAGTAGATGAAAGGGTTTTCACATTCTCCAATATTAAGTTTACATTGAATAAAATTTAGAGTGGGGGGCTTACTTTGAAAAACATTTTAGCAAAATCTCTTGGCTGGGGCCTTAGGCAATCGCCTAAGTCGGCTAAGGCTAAAGCCATCACTGCATACTGTTTATGTAGAAATCTAGTTGCATAGTAATGGAATTTGGTATCTACAAAGTGGAGATCTTACAAAACATATATATAAATATTTTTTCTTTAAACTGGAAAATTTATCTTGCATCGGTAATCTATTAGTAGGGGAAGACTGAATGGTTGCACTCACGAAAGGATATAAATTCAGTAGGGGAGAAGTTCTTTCAAGTGTTGTTGGGCTGATACATGCATATCAAATTAAAAGGATAATTTTCACATGACGGCTCCTATAAACAAAAATGCGATACAATCTTCTGTTAGGTGGCTATGCATGCTGGTGCCAATGATTTATTCAAGAAGTAATGTGTTGATAAAATAGATGTAGCATCCATAAGTTGGATGAGATGGGTTTTTTCACGTGCAACTAAAATTGTTGTAGCAATAGTAAAGAGCAACAAGATTCAAGTAGAAGGCACTATATGGGTAGCGAAAAGAACTTCAGTTGAGGAACTTGAGGTTGTGAGGGAAGACATGATTGCCTTTGATTTGATATAGCCCTAGTAGAGAAGAATCTGCAAATGTTGGCCAAAATTTCGTCAGGGTTGAGTACGAGAGTTTAATAGTAGTATAGAGCTGGTGCTGTTGTGGTGGTTGTAACACTCGGACAAACACAAAATATTTTGTTTTCTCCCTCCTGTCTACTCTTTTTTGTTGTATTATGCAAATGATGATAGGTATCCTAGTATAGAGCTGGTATCTTAGTTATCTTTAACCATTCTTTTATGCTGCTTAGGTTGAATAAACCTTGCAAACTAACAGATTGTCTGAGAAACGCAGTAATAGGAAGGCTTTAATTGGATTTAAGTCTGCAAGACTCTCGAAGGAGAATAATGATTATAACATGAGCATAATCATATACGAACCTAACCCAACATCTGTGACTTACTCCTGTACATGATATCTTGTAAGCTCTTATGGTGTGTGTCATGAATAACATATATGCAAGTTCTTTCAGCAAATGATTTTTTCTCTGATTCTTATTTGATAATGTGGGGTTAAAGTACGACTTCTCGCTGGCTTTAATAATTGTCAGTCCGCATGCTCTCTTAGAAGAACATAAAATGGAACATAAATAACTGATGTTTATATGATTTCTCTAGAATAGCTGCTTATGCCTTGTCACAATGCCTTCAAATGGATTTTATATCACATTGAATGGTACATATTGAGATTGCTGCTATGTTTTTTAATTAGTCAAGGTGAGAGAAAGATCTCATGCTTCTGAATTTCCTCAGGTACGCAGCGGCTTCCACGCCTCGTTGGCCTTGCCAAGGCCCTTGAAATGATGCTGGTACATCTTGTCTTGATCTGGATTTTCTTGCTCCTAATGTAAAGTAGTTATAGAATGTCAAATATTTTAACCTCTCTCTCTCTCTCTCTCTCTCTCTGATAGATGTCAAAGCCTGTTAAAGGGGAGGAAGCTCATAGTTTGGGTCTTGTGGATGCCATAGTCTCACCAGATGATTTGGTAAACACTGCTCGTCGATGGGCACTTGATATTTTGGAACGAAAAAGACCATGGGTTTCTAGCCTGTATAAGACTGACAAGATTGAGCCTCTTGGTGAGGCAAGGGAGATACTCAAGTTTGCGAGAGCTCAGGCTCGAAAACAAGCTCCTAATCTGACACACCCATTAGTCTGCATTGATGTTATTGAAGAGGGTATAGTTTCTGGTCCGCGTGCTGGGCTTTGGAAGGTTCTATCTGTCCCCAATTCACTTTAATTACCTTCAAATCACAGCTGAGCAAAAATTTGACCGTCTGATATTGGCAGGAAGCTGAAGCTTTCCAAGGACTTCTACATTCGGACACTTGCAAGAGCTTGGTCCACATCTTCTTTGCTCAACGTGGAACCTCGAAGGTTTATTGAAGCTAGAATTGCTATTATCATTGCAGTTCATTTCTAGCTTAAGCTGAAATTAGCCTGCAATTAACTAAACAACTTCTTATGTTACCAAAAAATTTAAAACTTCTTATTACCAAAAAGAAATTAGCCCACTATAGGTTTCATTTGATAGAGGATAACATTCCTCTTACCTCATTTAGAAGCAAGGCTGAAAGTTAAATTTGCCACTACACCACTACACTTGATTGGCTATCAATCCATAATTGAAATGAAGTTATGGATGTGTGGCGAGCTTTCAGGAAGTTTGCTAAATTTTAAAACCAAACCATCAATATAGTTGTACTCAGCTCCATCTTTTATTTTGACGAGGGTCACTTTAGAAGTGGAATCAATTCTCTGAAGTTTAGCTATAGAAACACTTAATCTTAAAAAGATTGATCCTGGTGTTAAGTTGAACTGAGGGAGTTATTGTTGATAATCAATGAAAATGGAACAATTTTGTGATTTATTGTTCAAAGTTGGAAGTCACTCAGAGTTCATTTATTTATTTATTTTCGGAAATCACTCATACTTCCAAGTTGCATGGCTTGTGCCTGAGTTTTCTGCAACCATTGATGATTGCTGAGTAGATGTCAGAAACTTGTCTGGATGCTTACATGAGAAAATACCTTTTTGATCTTGTTCAATGAATAATTTATAAAGTTCAAGTTGAATAGATTTGCTCTTGCATCATGGTAAAAAATTCTTCAAATTACAACCATGGAGTTGCGGTCTTGGTTCAGCCTTATCTGTCTATACGGTACAAAGTTTTCTGCTTAATGCTGTAACACACTGTTTTGGAATTATAAACAGGTTCCTGGGGTCACTGATCTGGGTCTAAAACCAAGACGAATAAGTAAAGTTGCTATCATCGGAGGAGGGTTAATGGGCTCTGGAATAGCAACAGCTTTAATTCTTAGCAACTATTCGGTGATCCTGAAAGAAGTGAATGAGAAGTTCCTACAAGCTGGGATAGGTAGAGTTAAAGGTGAGGCCAGGGTTTTGTGTTTAGACTATAGCTTTACATAAGTTCATCTAACTCTGGCTATTTTGTTTTATGGTTTCTGATTGAAATTTTATTTGTTCAGCCAATTTGCAGAGCCGGGTCAAGAAAGGGAAAATGACTCAAGAGAAATTTGAAAAAACCCTCTCTCTTCTAAAGGGTGTTCTTGACTATGAAAGCTTTAGAGATGTGGACATGGTCATAGAGGTGTTGCAGAATACATCTTAATTTACTTTACCATTTGTGTGCTTTGTTACACTATTTTGTCCTTTTCTTTTTTTCTTTTTCTCTCTACTTGAAACTCACACACCCACTTTGACTCTACGAGGACTTGAATGAACACTCGACCTTCTACTTTGAAAGGTGACGAGGTATAATTAAGCTACACTGTTGGTGGTCACTAATTTGTTCTTAGCCTTAATGTTTCTTATTTTTCATGCTTGAAACAGGCAGTTATTGAGAATGTCTCTTTAAAGCAACAAATTTTTGTGGATCTTGAAAAATTCTGCCCTCCTCATTGCATTCTTGCGAGTAACACTTCAACAATTGACTTGAACCTGATTGGTGAGAAGACGAAGTCCCATGATCGGATTGCTGGAGCCCACTTCTTCAGGTAACTTTGTGGTGCATTTTTTTTATTTCTCCTCATTTCTTATTGCATAAAATAATTGGTTTGTGCTTTCAATGCAGTCCGGCACACATCATGCCGCTTTTAGAAATTGTTCGTACTCAGAGAACGTCTCCCCAAGTAATTGTCGACTTACTGGATGTTGGGAAAAGGATAAGGAAAACCCCAGTTGTTGTTGGGAATTGCACTGGCTTTGCTGTTAACAGGATGTTCTTCCCTTACACACAAGCAGCTCTTTTGCTTGTTGAACGTGGTACAGATGTCTATCAGATTGATAAGGTGATTACCAAATTTGGAATGCCAATGGGCCCATTCAGGTAATAATTGGGGTGTTATGTTGTGTTTTGACCTCTTGATCTCGAGTGTCAAAATGATATGATATGTGAAATTGAACTGGCCAAAATATTTTGTTTATGTGTGCAGATTGTGTGATCTAGTTGGTTTTGGTGTTGCTATTGCAACTGGCATGCAATTTGTTGAGAACTTTCCTGAGAGAACTTATAAATCAATGTTAATTCCAATGATGCAAGAGGAGAAGAGAGCAGGTATAATTTACATCATTCCAAATTTCGGGGGATTTCTGGGGTTTGAATCATAAAATATTTCTTACTGTATGACACTTGTTTCAGGTGAAACTACTCGCAAAGGGTTTTACGTCTATAATGACAAACGCAAGGCAAACCCAGATCCAGAAATAAATAAATTTATTCAGAAGGCGAGGGATATCTCCGGCATTGTTGTGGACCCTAAGGTCTCTATCTCTCTCTTTCTCTGCTTTTTAGTAGTTGGAAAAGACTAGGGAGTTTGTGTTGGTGTTCCGCACGTATTGCATGGCAGGTGGTGCAATGATATACCATAATATATGGTCTGACTTGAAGTTATGACAGGCCATACCTGGGAAGTAAAATAATTGTCTGACTTGAAGGTGTATCTGTATCTGTAATGTGTGCTTGTTTTGTGAGGATTTTTCTGAATTTGGTGGTGGTGAACATGGATGCAGCTCGTGAAGTTATCAGACAAGGACATTATAGAGATGATATTATTCCCTGTGGTGAATGAAGCCTGCCGAGTCCTTGCTGAAGGAATTGCAGTCAAAGCAGCTGATCTGGACATTGCCGCCGTAATGGGCATGGGGTTCCCACCGTACAGGTTTGTGGTTTTATCTGACTTAATGTCATTTTCTACAAATCTCAAAGAACTGTTGGTATAATCAATGGGGTTACTCGTGGATCAGGGGCGGGATCATGTTCTGGGCTGACTCGCTTGGATCCGAATACATTTGTTCAAGATTGGAAGAATGGTCAAGCATGTATGGAGAATTCTTCAAGCCTTGTGCCTACTTAGCTGAAAGAGCTGCCAAGGGGGTTCCTCTGGTGAGAGTTCTGGAACTAACCATTGTTAATTGCATAGTTAGACGAATTAGTGATTAATACATGATTCATCATTGAAACCTTCTACTACGATATTCCATGACATGGATTATTTTGGACCCATCACCACCATCCAGGTGCTTTCACATGAAATTCCTGAGAGAATCCTTGGTTTTGGTTAATTTTTTTGTTGCTACATATAAGTTTTGCTCTAGTAAGGAAGTGTACCGTTACATCAAGTTGGCTTCACAGTTTTTGCAATCGATGAGTGTCATATAAGAGACTAACTCGGGGAAAATCAGCATGACGCTCGTGTATGATTTCCTGGACATTTTTTAAAAGCTTTTCTGCCATATAGAAAAAAAATCAAGCTTAAAGTGAGGTACATTTAATAAGTCTAATCATATTGAACTTCATAAACAATTACCTTCTAAATAAATAAAAGAAACTTCATAAACAATTGCTCACTTAGGCCAGACATATTAAATGTTGGACCTTGATCATTTTGATGGTATGCTACTTGATGTTAAAATGGATTACTGGATTTTGGTGAATGATTCCGATCTGCAGGAAGTATCTGGACCATGAGCTAAGCGTTTATTAACGTACAAATTGTAACTAATGTGGTATTTATATTGTTGATGCCTCTTTTGCTGACACTGTTTGCTAAAAAAATATTTGAACCTTTGCGTTGCAGAGTTCTCCGTTGGAGCAAGCAAAATCTCGGCTCTAAGGTTATTTTTCTGGTAGCACGTGATTCCCGGTTTAGTTATCACTACAAATATGTTGGCATCTTGTATTTGTTTTTGTTTTCCCTTTCTTTTTTCTTGATGGAGAGGCTCTGGAAGAGCTAAATAATGCATGAGATGTTGTATTGAGAACACCAATATGACCGAGAAATGAGAATTTAGACAATAATGTTCTATAAAAAAAAGCCGCATGGGTATTGATTTTCTCTATTTAGCGATGCTGCCATGGGCCCATGCCAAGTGTTAGTTTTTGCGTTATTTTCTTTTATGGTTGGAAAATTCTACGAGTCTACTTTAAAGGTGGTGTTGCACTCGAAAATAATGTAGTTGGGAATGCTCTTTAGTCTTTTCGGGTTCCAGCGCTTTTTACCTGTTTTCAAGTTTAATTATTTTGATTCGAGTACTAATGATACTTAGGCCGACTTCTTCGACGTTGTGAATAACTCAATTGTGGGTCCTATTCACTTGTGCTACTTTTTGTTTCTCCATTTTTCTGGTTTCTTCTCAATTTACAAGATAAATTTATATTATAAGAAATGTCATGTTTAGGCAGGGTTGAAACCGGCTTGGCCAAAATGTGTGTAACTAAAATAAATAAATAAATAAAAGAAAAAAGAAGATAAAAACTGGATGGTGGATGGTGGTCACAATCCATGATCCATGCAACCTAAACTCTCAGTTACACAAAAATAACGTGACTTGTGCAACCGTTTTTAAGGTGTGGCAATATACTTTTACGAGTCATCTATACCCCGTGACAAATTTGTCGACTAGTCCCTTGTCCCAATATGAGATGAGAAATTCTTGCCTAAATTAATATGTGCCATTATTACAGGAATGGATGGGCGAGACAATTTTTAGGAAAGGAAATACATTTTTTACTTTTTGTTTGCTTGAATGAAATAAATAGTAAAAAAGGTGAATGAGGTGTCAATTTTTTTTTTTTTTTTAACCGGTATGCTCTCATTATATAAAAATTCAATATCCATTTCAATCATTCTCTTCAACCCTCAACCAAACGTAGTATAAATATTTAAACTATAACGACAATGGTCCATGGAAAAATCTCTTGGAATAGTTTAGGACTTTGATTAGATTTATTTTTATTTTTTCTTATATTTTTATATTTATTTTTTATCACAAGACTTTCATTCGATTGAAGGAGAGTATTTGAAATGAATAAAAAGATCGAAAAGAACAAAGAATGATAAAGAGCTAGTATATTTTGCGTGCGGTTGAAAGATGAGGATGGAAGAAAAATAAATTTGTTACGATAAACATAACGAACTTAAGTAACAATTACGAAACACGATAAAAAACGTAAACACACCACACACAAAGAGCAAAACAATTTATAACGAAAGTCTTTACTATGTGTAAAATTAAAGATTACAAATTTCAACCCTTCACTCTCTTTCTATATGATTTTTGCTGTCTCTTAATGTTGCACTCCAAACCAGGGCCGGCCCTTGTCATAGGCAGCCCAAACAGTTGCTTAGGGCCATAAATTAAGAAAGAATTGATTCATTCGTTTTTTTAGCCTTCCTAAATTTGAGAATTGATTTAATCTTTTTTTTTCAATCTTTTTTTCAAAAAGGAAAAATGAATAAATCAATTCTTCTTCTCCTCTTCTCTATACCCCAGAGAGTATTTTACTTTGATTCTCAGTAGGGTTTTTTTTTTTTTTTTTTTTTTTTCGTGTTTCCTAAAAATACTAATTATTCTTACTTTTAAATTTTAAAAACAAATAAGTCCTAACAAATATTCACAAAGTCAATTAAATTCTACTTTTGAAGAATATTTCCAAATAAGTTCACATTCTACAAATAATGAACATTTTTCCAATATTGCCCTTTGTTGATAAGTTAGGCCATTTGTTTACTAAAATACAATTTTTTTATTTTTTATTTTTTTTGCCCTTTTTACCTCCAATATTTTGTAACTAATAACTTTTGTTAAAACAAAATTAATTGTACCAAAATAAATAGTCCTAAAACATTTTACTAAAGTATTTCAAATACACTTTTAGTAAATACTCTATAGTGTTAATTATCGAAAAAAAAAAAAAAAAATACTCTTTGTGTTAAATTGGAATGAAAAACTTTTCATTGAATACATTTATGAATAACAAATGTATCATTTCTATTCTTTTTGAATCAACACCTCTGTAGAAAAGGGTAGAAAAGAAATTGTATTAGGTATAAAACTTTGTTGGAAATTTGTATGAAAAGTAGAACTTCGTAGTCTCCTAAAACCTTTTTTAGAACTCAATTGTCTGTAAAGTGGAAAAGTAGGACTAATCCATAATTTTTCATATATTTTTATGTACTTATCGTCTCATTTTAATGAAAAATTCGCACTCTTATAATTTTTTGCTCATGTAAAACTTTGTATATAAAGGGCCTCGTATCTAAAGGTTCGCTTAGGACCTCTCAAAATTTTAAAAATCTTACTATTGATCCTATTCCAAACCCAAAGCACTCTTATATATCGGGATACAAGAAAGTACTCGTTAGGCTCCATGACCAACAAGCAAAACAGGTCCAAAAAACCTTCCTTTCCTGTTGTGCCTTGTGATTGTTTTCTTTTATATTTTTAACCTCTTTTTTCGATAAGTTAAAAAATGAAAGAATATGGTGTTCTCTAATAGAAGAATATATTAGGTGTGCTCAGTGCAGCGGGCACATCACAATCATCCATGTTGTGCACGTGCGGGTATGGATGGATGTGATGATCCAGTGCACCACCGAATATCTTCTTCTCTAATAGTCCGACACCACAATCATGGGCCAAAAATTTGTTTGTTTGTTTTTTTTTTATTATTACTTTCCTTTGCGTACAGTAATCCTAAAAGAAAGAAAACAATTGATTATGAGACTAGATATTGCTCAACATTCATTTTGAGAGATAGAAAAAATACCACATAACTTGTCTAAACATATATTTCACCAGCGGCTTCATAAGGTAGATATATCGTACCAGATGTTATCAAAGCCAATTCCTAACAAAAAATGAAAGAGCGTGAGAGCTAACTTAGTCAGAAGACTCAGAACGTTTGGTCTCAAGTGGTGGCAATCGTAAAGTCTCATATTGCTCGAGGGAGAAATTGCTGGCCAACACTTGCATGCATGAACACCTTTAGGCATTGTAAAAATAGTAAACACTAAATGTGCAGGTGATGACACTTTCCATAATTATATAGGTATAATAAATTCCACGCAGAAAAGTTGAGATTATCATCTTAATTAACAAATATAACAATAAAGAACAAAAAAAAAAAAAAAAAAAAAAAATAATACAACAATATACAAATAATATATGTATTTTCGGAATTTTTTTTAATTTTTTTGAAAGTTAAGTATCTTAAGAACTTGGCACCATTCATGTACACCAATACAATCTGAATACAACAGAGGATACGAGAGATCAGACTAACCACCCAATTCTCTTATACAATTGACCCTATCCAATTTTTTTTTTTCACTTCGGACTCATTGTGGTTTTACTACCTTGTGATTCAATAGCATCTCTCGAAGCTCCACCGCGTCAATCTCGGCCGGACGATCAGTGGGCTTGTAGTATCCAGTGATTGGATCTGGGACCCATGCAGACTTCTCTTTAATCACTGCCGTCCCTTCCACCTTCCCCACCATTCCTCTGGAGGACCCTCCCTCAGCCACCACAGCTCCTTGTGATGTTGCAGCGTAACCTCGCCTGTTTACCACATGATCAAAACGTTGTTCAAAACCATTATATATATATATATATATATATAAGTCCGACTCAGTAAATTACGTAAGAATGGCAATAGTGAATATTTTTTTTATTTTTTTATTTTTATTTTTTGTAATTCAGGAAGTGCAAAAGTGAAATTTTATTGATATATAATTCAAAAAATAAATAATCAAGGATATAATATTAAATAAAAAAATTAGTGAGACAATTGCTCCCAACGAAAACATTTATTCACATCAACTATAACGCTTGGATATAATTGTTATGTTATTTAATAATTAATTTTTTTTACATTCAACTCATATCCAACGGTGTGTTATCATGACTTGATATGCGTAAAAAAGTTTTTTTTTTTTGGCTCAATCATTACTTGTGTATATATAATATATATACATCAAACAAACATTTACATCCATTATATATTCACATACTATATATTATACTCACCTGATGATATTGAAGGAAAGGCCATCTATAGTGGAAGTAGCGAGAAGCTTAGCGTTTGTCAGATATCGAGCCATTTAATATGTAGAGAGCAGAGATTACTTTTGTTGGGCTATATATATGTGTAAACTGTAGAGAGTTGTAATTTATATATAGAGAGAGAATATATATATAGAGAGAGATGACAGGTAGGGTGGGTGTTCTAGAAAGACAAGGAACCCGCTTTTGAATGAGTTGTAAAATTGAGACTTGAGAGAAGCGTGTCAAAGTGGGTTTCTTTTTTCTGGTCTGGCTTTCTCATTCTACACTTTTTCTAGTTTTTGCGTTGTGGTTTATACGTATATATATTTTCTTCTAGGAAACTCCATGAAGCGAGGAACAATGTTCTAGATGAAAAGTTAAATCAATCTTCCTTTTCCAAAAATAAATAATAATAATAATAATAATAGTATAATTTAGTATTTCTAGAAGTTTGATAAATCTAATGAGATTAATTACTCTATTGGATAATGACTTTAATTTTTACAAATATGTAAGAACAATAAATAAATAAATATCTTTTTCGTTCTACAAATAATTCCCACTATACTCTAAAAAGGACTAATCATTTTTTATTGTTCGTTTAACTAAAAAAAAAAATAGCATTTTTTCCTTTTTTTTTTTTGCAAGACAGTGATATATAGCATTAGACCACAAATTTTAGCGACCTTAGTTTCTTTTAAGGGTTAATTACACTGACATCAAATATCACGTTGTAATACTTTTTGAAAATTAGTATAACTCACACCTCAAATCACATTTTCGTTACATATACCGTATAAGGATGAAATTACCCCATTGATTATCCAAAAACATCAACACCCTCACTTAATATATATCATAATTATATATATATATGTGTGTGTGAAGAATTAAGCAATCTATTTTTTGGGTTTTACTTATTTATTTTATGGATTTTGTTGAATTTTTTGTAAAATAATATATAAAGTTATAAACACACATATATTTTAATGGGTATTTTGGTCACTTAATATGGATCGAATAAGAGAACAAATGTCATTTTATACATCAAACAATTAGTAAATCAATACAAAGTCAAAAGAGGTATTAATATCTTTTTACATGTAAAAAGTGGGTTGACATATATCAAAAGTAATTTTTAGGATATGAGTAAAAAATGAATCAAACCTTTTTGAATGTAAGTGATAATAATTTTCAAAAAGATATTTATATTTGGCCAAATCCAAATTAACCCTTCTTTTAAATGTCAACTGTACTACTTTATCAATTTGTTAAAATTGTTTTGATCATCATATATATATATATATATATATATATATGTATGTCTGTATGACCATCTTTTAAAAAGGATAATATTAATTACTTTTCCTTGGTACTTAAAAAATTAAAAAGTATTTTTCATTTTCCATTTCAAAATCTTAAAAATATATATATATTTATTTCTATTTTTGCAACTTATTTTATGACCATGAGTAGCAATCCTCACTGAGATTTCTCTCGTGAAGCTGCTAAAATTAAAGAGTCTCTTCGCTCTTAACCTTTTTGCTGGTCTTTTTGGGAAAATGATACGATCCTTTTTTAACGTGCACACGTTGCGTTGTGTGCCTCGCTTTCGCAAAGCAGGTCACGACAATTAAAGCAAATTTCTTCAAACCTTCCGAGCCCGCCATTAATGACATTAATTACTTGCACCACAAGCTTCCTTAATTCATGCAGTGGTCAGATTGGCGTTTGTAGCTTCCACGGAATGTTCACAACTTAAAGCTTTCTTTGACCCTTTGATCTTTCTCCAACCATGACTATAATTTTTGAAAAATTACTACAAGGTCCGCACATTAATTGATATTTGGTGGAGTAATTTAATAAAAATTAATGAAAATTTTTCTTTAGAATATATAAATATATATATATTTTTTAATTGGAGAGTTTGAATTGAACTGATCCATTAAGTGTGGTCAAGACCTTTTAATAATTTTTTGTCAATTCATTTAATGCTCATGGGGTGAATTGGACATATCAAACCTGAGGACAACTATGAACACTAATATGAAAAATTGGCAATTGACACCCTAAAATGGATCAAATGATTAAAATTGAGGATCATATGCTCAAAGACCGTTGGCTTGTGCCATGTCACCAAAGATACCGTTATTCTATGCTTTATGTATCCCTCACTCTTGAATCGGTTCGTTTTGTGCTTAAGTCGTGAGGACAAAATCCAAAAAAGGAAGAGCAAAACTTCTAAGACTATACTTTACCCGTAGAATAAGAAATTGGAGGTTAGCTAGAGTTATTTTTTAAAATATGAATTATAATTTCTGCCTTACCATTACACACATACATACACATATATATTATTTGAAAATAGCAATACATTTTTTTTTTTCTTTTAAGAAAATTTTTTTTGTACAGTAACAAAGGGACAAAAAAAATTCTTTTATAACTTGCCCAGGTCACACACTATAAAAAACCTAGAGAACCTCCACCTCAACCTGCCACAACGACCACCAAACCTGCCACAACGATCACCAAACCACCTCAAACCCCGATTCCTGCCTACACAAATCGATCAGCCATCATTGTGATCCAACCAAACCAAGCTCAAATCAGTTGCGCGTTGTCCACTTAAACACCTAGACGGTCCACCAACCAAAACCACACTATTACTGGAGAGCAGGCATAAGCCCGTTGCAAGCCAAAATTACAACTCGATCACCATTAATACTCCTCCCAAACCACCCTTGCCTGCGGGTCAAAAACTCTCTGCAGCAGGATCGTATCCTTATTCCCGGCAATAAGGTAATTGATGACGTGGTCTATCTTCCAGAAGGGCTTGATGCCTTTATCATGGAAGCCTCAAAACTTGAACTTCTGAAGGAGGTTGACAGACTCCAAAGGTTACTCAAGGCGAAAGATGATGAGCTTCAAGCTGCGCTTAAGAGGCTCAACAAGCCATCCCTCATGGAGAATGAAATTGCTTTGTTGCATGACATCCTTACAAGATTGGACACCGTTGTACCCCCTTCATCATAAGGTCACTCGGGCCGAAGCGTATTTCTGGAGGTGAGCTACACGCGCCGTCTGCTGCGATTGTTGGAAATCAAGCTACATCTAACCCAGTACACATTGACCAAGATATACCTAGTCCTAATCCAACTAGCAGTGACTCATTTTCCTTCCCAACTAACCATGTTGATCCAACCATAATTGCTGGTTTGACCCGTACAGTACAGTATACGAATCCCCTTATAACTACAAGTTTGGTCCCCACAAGCCAATATTCTAATTCTTTATCTAACCCCATCACACCTAATCATCCAAACCCCACACTAAACCCAACGGAAGCCACACCTGTGTGCACCGTGGGACAGAATGAGTCCCATGATAATGCAAACCGCGGCTGGTCTTCTATTGCTCAAGGTACTCATGATAATATTGGTCATTTGAATTCTTCAAACCCTCTCTCCATAATGACAACCTCTTTGTTGAGCCACCTAATGACATTGATCTGGAAGGGGAAAAATATTGGAAGAACTGTATTTTGGGTTTCTTTCACAAGAGATTGCCTTTCAAACTGGTATCAAGTATTGCCTATAAGCTGTGGAAGAGCAGAGGGCTTCAAAAGGTCATTGCAAGCAAGGATGACACCTTTGTTTTCAGGTTTTGTTCAGTGGATAAATGCAAGGAGATTATCTCGGGTAGGGAGTGGGTTTTTACAGGTAACCCAATCACCCTTAGACTTTGGCTCAGGGACAGTCGCCCACCCCATAAAGAGAAATGCAATTCTCTCTCCATTTAGGTAATATTCTTCAATGTTCCACTGCACCTTTGGTCCCCAAAGGGGCTTAGTTATATTGCAAGTGCCATAGGGAAACCCCTTTTTGCCGATGCAAACACTCAGGATATGAACATGATTGACCATGCAATGGTGTGTAGAAATCAACCCACAATCCACACTCCCAAGTTCCTTTCCTGTCAAAACAAAAGGCAACAAATTTGAGACTATCAACGTGCAATACCCTTGGAAGCCCTTGATATGCACAGGGTGTAACTCCTTTGGTCACACCTTGGACCAATGTGTTGGGTCTTTGAATGACATGCATGAGTCTGGTGATGAAACAGGGGTGTGCCCTCAAAAGGTAGTTGGGTGGAAGGTGGTCACAAGGAAGAATGCTCGCAATAACACACAATGTCACCCCATCCCTAACCGTTTCCCAGACCCTACAAGCTACAGGTCAGCTGTTGAGGCCACATCATCCATTCCTCCTGAGCAATCTCCATCTAATCAATTATCCCTCATACCATATTCAGATATAAATGCTATTATTGGCAATGTAGACACAGCAGAAACCTCAACACCTATCTTGCCAATAATGAATAAGCACAATAGTTCCATTACAGAGCCCAACCATGATTCATTACCCCCAAACTAACATGTTTAAGGCCTTGAACCGTGTGGTTGACTTATCCCTTCATATGTTGACCCTATCTCATGATGGTGCCTCCTCCCCTCTACCAGTTCCAGTTTCAAACCCATTTGAAGCCCTAAATGTGATACCGCTCGACTTCGAGACATGGGTTGATTAGGCTTAAGCCCAAACCCGAGGGAGTATCTAACAATTAAAGTATTTAAACAACATTGAGTACAAAATGAATCACAAATAAACAAATAAGCTAAAAGAACTAAGTAATAAATCCTCCAACAATACTTCATTAAAATAATTCAAAACCTCTGATACCAATAATCCCTCTAGATTACAACTCGGGAATCTATCATGTAGACCCTGATGTGTCAGTTTAATTACCACTCGCAATAGTACGAATCTTTGTAAGATAGGACTATATAGAGGGTGTCGATCTCACAGGGAGATGACTGTTCTTTGTTATGTTTCTAGCTAATCCAATTTACTTTTTGGTTTACAGGTAACTGATTGAATTCATTGATTGGTTGTCACAAACATAAAATAAACTTAAGCTGAATTTAAACTAAAGAGATCAGAGAGATTAAGGTCTTAGGGCTTTGATTTCACCTCGAACTTCGTACTATGGTTAACTGTTCAACTCTGGGGTTTTAACAATTTATATTTCAAGTGAATTGAACTCAATAACATTAGTTCAATTCGGTTTTAAAGAAAGATATTTTATAAATATAATGACCCGGTCATTTGACTCCCTTTTCTTTTTCCTGAAATTCTATGGATAATTTTTTTCCGTTTAGTTTTCTGTTCTTAGCTCTGTTTC